AACCATGTGCCCACAGATTCTTTGGCAGCAATGCCATCGAAAATAAAAAGTGTTCTCTTAAACCTGCACTGCAGAGGGAGAAAAATATGCCTTATAGGAAACAGTACAGTTCCCTCTCTCCCTCAGAGAAAGCCCAGCTAGAAGGGACACCCTCCTTTCACAGACCCAGGACCGTGCTCTGTGGCCAAGCAGCAGAGATGGAGAGCAGTAATGGTGGTGGGAAGAGCATGACCACTGGGAAGTCGCAGAATGGAATCCTGGACATGTTACCTTGGAACAGGGGAACTCAGACACGTTGGTTGAATCTCTTTGAGCCTCAATTTCCCTGTTTGCAAAAATGAACCTGATAATTCATACCTCATGGGCTTATTGTGAGGATGAAATGAAAGTGAAAGAGGCATTTGATGAACATTAGTTGAGTACAAAAATGGAGGCCCAGATACTGTTCCCAAGATTACTGAGCAAGTTACCAGCCAAAACTGAACAAGAACCATCCTTGTTTCTGACTCCCAATTTGGCCACCTCCTCTTCCCCTTCCCCACAGCTCTTCATTTTGTGGAGAATTTACCACCAGTGCTTGCCATTGATCAGAGGAAGACCAACAAAAAAGAGTGTGGCCCAAGCAGATTCTGCATTAGGTTCAGAATGGCAACCTCCAAGTGGTATCGGTACCACTAAGCCAATATGAATTGGACACTGTCCTCTAGCATCGCTGGAAATGCAGCTTTCTAAGGAATGACCATTAGTATTAAGCAGCAACATTACTGGAAGACTCCGGGTTAAAGTGGAAGCCCTGCTATGTTGGGCCTTGGTTATAGAGTGGAGTCAGCACATATGTAAGCAAACACAGCCACCATCCAGGTCCAGCCATGGCTCCCTCAGGAATCAATCCCAGCCTGCTGTTCTATTTGTCCCTGATAGGCACTCAGAATCCTCCCCTCTCTTGCCAATCAGCTTGCATTGTCATTCACTTAGTGACCACTGACTGAAGGTCTAGAACAGGTGTCCTCAAATTTTTTAAACAGAGGGCCAGTTCACTGTCCCTCAGACTGCTGGAGGGCCGGACCATAGTTTAAAAAACAAACTATGAACAAATTCCTATGCACACTGCACATATCTTATTTCGAAGTAAAAACAAAACAAAACGGGAACAAATACAATATTTGTATTTGCATGTGGCCCGTGGGCCGTAGTTTGAGAACCCCTGGTCTAGAACATGCTAGGTGCTAAGGAGTAAGGCAAACACTGTCCTTGACTTATAAAGCTTATGCTCTATCATTCCAGATGCAATCCAGTTGCCTTCTGAAGCTTCTAACCCTGGCATACTCCCTGCTTAGGATCAGTGTGGGGTCACGGGAAGGGCGGGAGGTTTTGAAATCAGGGAAGCCAGCGTCTGAATTTGGCTCTGTCACCACAGAGCAGCCGTGGGCAAACTACAGCCCGCGGGCCGGATCCTGCCCATTTGAAATGAATAAAACTAAAAAAAAAAAGAGACCATACCCTTTTATGTAATGATGTTTACTTTGAATTTATATTAATTCACACAAACACTCCATCCATGCTTTTGTTCCGGCCCTCCGGTCCAGTTTAAGAACCCATTGTGGCCCCTGAGTCAAAAAGTTTGCCCACCCCTGCCACAGAGGATACCTGTCAATTTAGTCTCTCCAGTCTTGCTTCCCTCTATCTGGTAACAGGTCCTTCTTGCAGTAGGGCATTGCCTCTCCCCGACTCATTGATGTTTGGCCACAGGATTGGGTTTGGGTCGAGCTTGGCCAATCATGGTATCTTTTTACTCTTGGCCAGTGGAGACATGTGGCATGTGACCCAAACCAGGGCAAGCAGAGTGCTGAGTAGGATTCATATGTTTGAACTGGAAGAAAGAATATCTCTTTCTTGAGATGATATAAGCCTAGAGCTCTCAGCCACCATGGCCTCACCCACCACCAAAAGGAGTGAAGCTTTCTGCAGGGGGGAGAATGCAGGGAGAAGAGGAAATGGAGGAAAGCAAAAGAGAAAGAGAGAGGCGGGGGAGGTTTCACAAACATAACATCATTGGAAGCAATGAAAATTCTACCAAGCCACACCAGCCAATACATTTTCTTTGCCTTAAGCTTTCAGCCTGAGATGGGTGTGGGTAGAGGGCAGCACTGGAGGAAGAAATGACCATATTTCTGTAGACAGCAAGAAGAAAAAGCAATTGGCCTCTGAAGAACAATTCTGACTGTCTATTCCTGTAATTACAACGACATTGTTCCTGCTTTATACTCCAATTGTCTTTGTGCCAATAAGCATTTAAAAGGGGACTGAACGTATATCTTGTCACATGTTTCCCTTTGAGTGTAGATCTGCAGTGACTGTGTGCCGGGTGGTCCTGACTCTTCTGAGGTTTATAAATCCCCACAGGGCCTGGGGTTTGTTGCTCCCATAGTTTCCCTCCACCCACTAGCTGTATTATTCATACTTTTATCTTTGTAGGATGCACTGTGCTTTGCAAAGCACTTTCATTTGCATTACCTCATTGGATTCTCAGGGCATCTATGAAGAAGGCAGGGCCAGGGTTTCTGTGCCTGCCTGTCAGATTGAAAAACGGAGGCCCAGGCCCTGGGATCTTAGCGCAGAAGAGAAAGACATGGGTGGTGCTTGTGCAATGATCTCACATGGAACGAATGGGACAGACCTGGAAGGATCCCTGCATTTGGAGCCAGAAGCCCAAGCTTGAGTCTTGGCTCTTTTACTTGCTAGTTATCTGGCTTTGGGCAAATCACTCAGTCCCTCTCAGTCTCAGTTTCTCCATCTGTCAGAAATAGGGATGATACTTTCCTTTAAGGATTCTTGTGTCTATCACAGGGATGAAATGGAACAAAGGGGTCTGTGAGCCATAAAATGCTGCTCACCTATTTGGGGGTGATTTTTATGAGCAGTGGGCAACAGTGTGCTGAGTTCAGCTGGTATAGCTCCCAAGAGCTGTAGTGCCCACCTCCTTTCAACTCACATTCAGTGACATCCTGTTGGTGACTTGAAATCAACCATGGTGAGAATATGTACACCAAGGAAATGAGCAAATGCTACAAATCAGAGCTTTGCTTTTTCCCCGGGAGAGTTGGTTGTTAGCCAGCACACAGTGATGCTGGGAGGTTAAGGGGAGAAGAAGAAAAGGATGTTGATATTTAAGGTGCACTGTATGTATTGAGCGCGCATCCTTATAGCATCTCCTTTAGTCTTCACAACAGCTCCTGGAGGCAGATACGGACCCTATTTTATAGATGAGGTCATTAAAACATAGAGAGACTTCATAATGTGTTCAAGAACACACAATAAATAACAGAGCAGAAATTCAAAGTCAGGTCTCACATTCTCTTTGATAACCACGCAGCATCCCAAAGATGCACCCATTAGCATCTGTCCTGTCCCTGATCTCCAGCTCAGCATCAGTGAAATAGTAAATCAGTTTCTAGGACCACTTAAGAGTGAAGATCCCTGTTTGGATGTCAGTATCTTAGCACCCAAATAAAACTGGCCTGGAGAAAGATGGGGTGGTTGTGGTATATTGACCTGGTTATAGAGAATGGGTTGACTGTCTTTGAGACCCACAGTTCTGGGTCTCAATTGGATAAATGCTTCAGGGTCCCAGAAATTAGGCAACCTTATTGGGCTGGGGTCACTTGAAACATTCAGGCATGGAGAGGGAGAAAGTCAAGGGTGCCTGGGTCCAAGTGCCCTCTCCGCTACTTCACCAAGCTGGGGTTCAGCTCCCTCATCTGTAAAGGGGGACAATATCCACATCTACCTGTGTCACTTTATTGGGTGTCTGTGGTGCCAGTGAGGGAAGGTTTCTGAGGCTTCTGGAATATGTCACACTGCACAGATGCAAGGGAATCATCATGCGTCTCAGTGAGAATATCTCCTCTTGTTGCTAAGAGAGAAGGACTGTTTTCCTTTCCTGCCATCTCTGGCTTTCTGCACCCCCCACCCCTCCAGGCCTTTTTCCTTCTATTTTTATACCTTCAGTGCTTCATATGTTGATGTCCTGCATGAGGGTGTTATAAAGGAAAAGAAAAACATCAAAATGACCTAAACAGGATGAAAATCAGTGTCCTGCTTGGGAAGATGACAGATGGGTGCAGGCGCCAGCATTACCAATGCCAGCCTCTCCCCAGGGGCTGAGAGGAACTCTCCCTGAACCCACCTGGCCACCCCTGCCAGGCCCCAGTCAGGACAGTTCCAGGACAGGGGTGACAACTACACACTCTTCCCCTAAATAGGGGGAGAAGTACTGCCCTGATCTACCCCACTCAGTAAATGCTGATTGGGTTGGTGATGATTACCGATATCCTGTTATCCCAGGAAGGGCAGACCTGCCCTATCACTGCTGTCACTTCACATGTGTCCAGCTCTGTGCTGATCACATTCGACTCCCATGAAACTGTTCATCTGATTCCCATGTTGCAGATGGAAGAATGGAAGCTCCATCATTGGGCCATTTGCTTAAGGTCTCACAGCTGCAAATGGAGCCCTGTCTCCTGTGGCCACACCATTGAATGTGGGGAGTGCAGACATGTGTCCCCGGGGCTGTGTACATGCAGTTGAGTGTGTGTCTGCTGGTGCAAAGCTTCATGTGTGGGCTGACCACAACAAGGATGAGGCCCCTAAAAAGCACATGCAGGCCAACACTCCTGTAGGCCCCAGCTCGGAGAGGGCTCCCCACTAATAAATCGTCATTGCTTGGCCTCAAGTCCAGACTTCCCTGGGGAACAGACAATTTCAAAGGGCGAGGACAGCAAGAGGACTGCAAGTTTTAGGCTTTGCTGCGATCGGAGCGGGGAGGGAGTCTGGGGGTGGGTGCTGAGGTCTCTCACCCCTCACTTGCTCACACCCTGGCCAGGTTCAGCTTCAGCTTCAGCACTGCTGCTGGGCGCCTGCATTCTGCGATAGGTGGCGAAATGCTGTAGGGCTCCCCTATTCGGGGGAATGCGGTAGTGATGTAGAAGGTATGAAAGATGTGGCCTGCAGAGAGCCCGCACTATCTCTGCCGCTGCTACTGCCGCCGCCGCTGCTGCCACCGCTACTGCTGCTTGCAGAGCTGCAGGGAGTGAGCATCCCGGGTTTGGGATACCCAGCTCCACCGCATCTCCCTCGCGTCCTGGCCCACACGGACCTGCCCACCCCTGGGAACAAAAGCGGACCTGCTCGCCCTCTCCTGCAGCCGGAGGATGATTCGGGAGGGCTGAGTGGAGAGTGCGGTCCTCGGCGGCTGGAAGGTAGGAGGTGTTGCCCCTGCAGCCGCGGGGTGGGAGTCTCTGAGTGGGTGCGCCGGCCGCGCGAGGCTGCCACGGGGACCAGCGTCCTGCTGGCGCTGCCGGGACGGCGAGGTGGTCATCTGGAACGCTGCGCTCCCGCTCCCGTGGCCCGCCCACCCTGGGCAGGAGCCGCGCTCCCGCCGCCGCGAGGGAGCCCCCTGGGTGGGAATCGGAGGCAGCAGAGGAAAGTCTGCAGCTGAACCCGGGGCTTCCGAGGGCTGCCCG